GGGACATCCCCGGCTTTGGAGGCTCAGGAATTCGGGAAAATTTGGGAATTTTTCCCGGGATTTTCCCGAACCTTCTTCATGAAGACGGAATCCTGGCGGGAACATTTCTCCACCTTCAGCTTCAGCACGGAGACGTCGCTGACGGAGCTGCCGGAAAAAAAAAAAAATTCCCGGGAAAATCCGGGAAAACTCAGGAATTCCCGGGGTCGGATCCGTCCCGGAGCATCCAAAGGGAGGGGGAAAAAAAACACCCTTGGAAAACTCATCCCAAATATCCTGGATTTCCCCATCCCAGATTTTCCTTCCTGGGCCGGATTTTACCGGGAAAAATCTGGAAAAAATTCTGGGAAAAATTCTGGGAAAATTCGGAAAAAAAAATTCCAGAAAATTCTGGGAAAAATTCTGGGAAAATTCTGGAAAAATTTCCAGAAAATTCCGGAAAAACTCAGGAATTCCCGGTGCCGGATGGGACAGATCCATCCCAGAAAATCCAATGGAAAAAACTCTTGGAAAACTCATCCTGATCCCAAATATCCTGGATTTCCCCATCCCAGATTTTCCTTCCTGGGCCGGATTTTACCGGGAAAAATCTGGAAAAGTTCTGGGAAAATTTTTGGAAAAAATTCTGGAAAAAATTCTGGGAAAAATTCTGGGAAAAATTCTGGGAAAAATTCTGGAAAAAATTCCAGAAAATTCCGGAAAAACTCAGGAATTCCCGGTGTCGGATGGGTCGGATCCATCCCAGAAAATCCAATGGAAAAAACTCTTGGAAAGCTCATCCTGATCCCAAATATCCTGGATTTCCCCATCCCAGATTTTCCTTCCCGGGCCGGATTTTACCGGGAAAAATCTGGAAAAATTCTGGGAAAAAATTTGGAAAAAATTCTGGAAAAAATTCTGTGAAAAATTCTGGGAAAACTATGGAAAAAATCCAGAAAATTCTGGAAAAAATTCTGGGAAAAATTCCAGAAAATTCCAGAAAACTCAGGAATTCCCGGTGTCAGATGGGACGGATCCATCCCAGAAAATCCAATGGAAAAAACTCTTGGAAAGCCCATCCCAAATCCCAGATATCCTGGATTTCCCTTTCCCCTGGATCCTCCGTGATCCCATCCCGGATTTCCCTTTGTGGAACTCCCAGGGAAAATTCCTGGGAGAGAATTCCTGGGGAAAATCCTTGGGAAAAAAAATCCCAGGGGAAAAAATCCTGGGAAAAAAATTCCTGGAGGGGGGGAAATTCCTGGGGGAAAATTCCTAGGGGAATATTCCTGGGGGGAAAAAAATTCCTGGAGGAAAAAAATTCCAAGGGGAAAAAAATTCCTGGGGAAAAAATTCCAGGGGAAAAAATTCCTGGAGGGAAAAATTCCTGGGGAGGAAAATCCTTGGGAAAAAAATCCTGGGAAAAAATCCTTGGGAAAAAAATCCTTGGGAAAAAATTCCTGCAGGAGGAAAAAATTCCCAGGGGAAAAAAAATTCCAGGGGAAAAAAATTCCTGGGGGGGAAAATCCCGGGAAAAATTCCTGGGGGAAAATCTTTGGGAAAAAATTCCTGGGGGGAAAAAAAATTCCTGGAGGAAAAAAAAAACCCAGGGGAAAAAAATTCCTGGGGAGGGGGGAAATCCTGGGAAAAAAATTCCTGGTGGAAAAAATTCCTGGGGGAAAATTCCTGGGGAAAAAAATTCCTGGGGGGAAAATTCGTGGTGTAAAATCCTTGGGAAAAATTTCTGGGGGAAAATTCCTGGGGGAAAATCCTTGGGAAAAAAATCCTGGAAAAAAAATCCTGGGAAAAAAAAATCCTTGGGAAAAAATTCCTGGGGAAAAAAAAAAAAATTCCCAGGGGGAAAAAAATTCCAGGAGGAAAATTCCAGGTGTGGGGGGGGTGGGGAGGGGAAATGTATGGAAAAAATTCCCGAGGGCAGAGAATTCCCGGGATTTTAATGGCAGGAATTCCCGGGATGAATTCCCGGGATTTTATCGGCGGGAATAAAATGAATTCCCAGGATTTCCCTGGCGGGACAGAAGTTGGGGCGGTTGCTGGAAATTCCCAGGGGAAAAATTCCCGGGGAAAATTCCCAGGGGAAAATCCTTGGGAAAAAAAAATTCCAGGGGGAAAAATCCGGGGGGAAAATCCTTGGGAAAAAAAATTCCTGGGAAAAAAAAAAAAACTCGGGGGAAAAAAATTCCAGGGGAAAAAAATTGCTGGGGGAAAAATCCTGGGGGGAAAATAATTCCAGGGGGAAAAATTTCCGGGAAAAAAAAATTCCTGGGGAAAAAATTTCCTAGGGGGGAAAAATTCCCGGGTTTGGAGGCTCAGGAATTTGGGAAAATTTGGGAATTTTTTCCCGGGATTTTATCGGCGGGAATTCCCGGGATGAATTCCCGGGATTTCAGGGTGTACCTGGCGGGACTGAAGCTGGGGCCGTTGCCGTGGCGATCGATGAAGCTGCAGAGAATTTCCAGGACAAAAATTCGGATTTCGGGATCCTCCAGGAGCGCGGCCGAGAGGAGCCGGTCCAGGAAGGCGCTGGGGAGAGCGGTGAGGAGGCTGCTGCTCTGGAATCCCGCCGAAACCTGGGAGAAACAACCGGAAAAATGGGGAAAACAACCGGAAAAATGGGGAAAACAACCGGAAAACAATGGGAAAAACAACCGGAAAGCAATGGGAAAAACAACCGGAAAAACAACCAGAAAAATGGTGAAAAACCAGGGAAAATGGGAAAGAGCCGTGAGGAGGCTGCTGCTCTGGAATCCCGCCGAAACCTGGGAGAAACAACCGGAAAAACAACCGGAAAAATGGTGAAAACTGGGAAAAACAACCGGAAAATGGGAAAGTTGGGGATAACAATGGGAAAAATGGAAAAAACAATGGGAAAAACCCGGGAAAAATCCAGGAAAGAGCGGTGAGGAGGCTGCTGCTCTGGAAACCCGCAGAAACCTGGGAGAAACAACCGGAAAAATGGGGAAAACAACCGGAAAAATGGGAAAAACAACCGGAAAACAATGGGAAAAACAACCGGAAAGCAATGGGAAAAACAATGGGAAAAACAACCAGAAAAATGGTGAAAAACCAGGGAAAATGGGAAAGAGCCGTGAGGAGGCTGCTGCTCTGAAATCCCACCAAAACCTGGGAAAAACAACCGGAAAAATGGTGAAAACTGGGAAAAACTACCGGAAAATGGGAAAGTTGGGGAAAACAATGGGAAAAACGGAAAAAACAATGGGAAAAACCCGGGAAAGATCCAGGAAAGAGCGGTGAGGAGGCTGCTGCTCTGGAATCCTGCGGAAACCTGGGAAAAATAACCGGAAAAATGGGAAAAACAACCGGAAAGCAATGGGAAAAACAACCGGAAAAACAACCAGAAAAATGGTGAAAAACCAGGGAAAATGGGAAAGAGCGGTGAGGAG